TCTGTAGTAGTCATGGAGATGAACCATACTTGCATAGTTGTGGTGAAAAGCTATGCAAAATTTACAGAACTTTTGTTTACAGTTTGAGATCAGTTACTTGGAGTTGCAAAGTCCAGTGCCTTCATCACAAAATCCATCGCGATCAAGCAGTTTGGGCGGGGGAGCACTTAGCAAAGGGGAAGATGGGCTGCCATAAGCATTTCTTCGGCCATTGCCACAACCAAGACTTTTTCTGGTGCTAACCCCTGTCACCGGATTTGTCCCACTTGCATACCTACAAAGAGCCTAGACCAACATACCAGCACAGAACAATAACTAGCATAATTTGCTTTGTTTTATGAAAATATGGTAACCATGAACCATCCAAGTTATAAGCCATAGGTATGAGAGATTATCTTAGCGTCTAGGCAAGTAATATGTAAGTTTGGGTATTTATATTTGGTTAGTTTCAGATGACTTTGTGCCATCTTTCAGAGTCTTTTAGTATGTTAAACTACTCTGTAGAACTTGACTCGCTCTGATAGTATTAAGATTTGGGATTTCATTCTAAAATGTATCGGCCAAGAAGAGTAGCTCAAGACATTATACATAACTTTGTAGAATTCTAATTGGCTGGTGTGCAATGAGTTAACAACTAAGCATAGCCCTCCAAGATGTAGACAGATTAAACCAAAGCAGTTTTGAAGTTTGAACGCTCATTCTCTTAGTCTTACTTAGACCAGATTAGTGATTTTAGTGGGATCTATTACCATGCTAAAATTTGAGTTTTATCACGACGGCATGAGTCACACTAAGGTCAATGGTAAAACTGAAGTGAGGCATATACTGGCTATACTTACACACACCTGCTTTTGCGGGAGGTCAATAACTGAATCACTAAAATCAGCCCCTTGAATTATGGCACCTGCCAAGTCACTCCTAGTAAGAACTGATCGAACAAGTACAGCATTTGTGAGATTGGCCTCATTCAGAACCTGCTCAGAAAGGTGTTCATAACCCTCTGTGTTTTAAGACCATGTGAATTTGACTAGACTAATAATACAATTTCTGATGTATTGCTTACCATGCGATCCATCAATGTGTCACTCAAATCCGCACCTATCAAAAGATTAATTGTTTACACCAAAGTGACTCAAACTACTTGGAAAAGCTTTCATTAACACCAATATATTTAATTTTCTTCCAAGTGATCCCTCTTTAACATTTCTTGCACTGTCCTTTTTATTAGTATGCTCAACTGTTTTTACTGTGATATGTACCTGTGAAATTAGCTTTGTAAGCAACTGCTTTCTCCAGATATGCCCCATTGAATGTTGATCCGGTAAAATCTGACTCTCTCATGTCAGCAGCTGTGAAATTTGCTCTCCTGTATCAGCAAATTCAACTCATTTATCATTATCCGTAGAGTAGGAGAGCCTTCCATGTCTCCAACACCAGAAAGTATTGCAAGTATATTTTCATAGTTTTCAAGTAGCGCATTTATGTGAGAAATTAGCTTTTCACATACTCCGTATAAATTTTGCAAGATAGAGTTTCAAGTAAAAAAAACCAAGGACATGTTTACTTCACAGGTTACTAAACAGTGCTTATTAAGACTCACGTTAATAAGCAGCGCATAAAATAAGCAATGTTAAAAGATCATGTTTACTTCAAATGGTTTAAAACACCGTTTAACATTAAAATGTCCAAAATAACCCTATACATATATAGACACAAACATTCATGAACACAAATAGATAATATTTTATGTGGGGTCACCTCGACACCTCGTACGTGTACCCATACCCCTAACCCCTACCCGCCCTATACCCCGTACCCCAACCCCTACCCTACACCCTACCCACAAATCCACACACTTGACCCCTACCCCAACCCTTACCATGACCTTACCCTCTACCCCTACTCCCCTACAAACCTTCATACCCACCGATACCCCTAACAACTACCCTACTTGTAGGGGTGAGGTCGGGGTTGAGGTCGAGGGAGGGTCGAGGTAGGGCAAGAGGGTACAGGTGGGGCGGGGTTATGGTCGAGGGTAGGGTGGTTAAGGGCTAGGGGTAGGAGTGGATGTGATGGGGTAGGGTGGGGTCGAGGTAGAGGAAGGTGGTAGGGGGTAAAGGGGTAGGGAAGGTTCGGGCGGGGTGGGGTAAGGGGTATGGTCGGGGGGGTATGGGTCAGGATCGGGGTGTAGCCGAGGTAGGGGCAAGTAGTGGGGTAGGGTCATGGTTAGTGGTAGGGTGGGATCGGGGGTCGGGTAGGGGTAGGGGCTGGGGGTATGATAGTGAGGTGGGGGTAGGATGTCAGTAGGGTGGGGTCGGGATCGGGGTGGGGCCGAGGTAGGGTTGGTAGGGGTGGAGTAGGGTGATAAGGGGGGTGGGGGTAGAGATGGAGGTAGGGTGGGTTGGGATCGGGGTCAGAGGTAAGGTAGGGGTAGGGTGTGGGTGGGGGTAGGATGGTGGTAGGGTGGGATCGGGATCGGGGGTGGTGCCGAGGTAAGGCATGTGTAGGGTAAGGGGTAAGAGCCTAAGAGGTATAGGGTGGGGAGGGTGGGGTCGAGGTGGTAGTGGGTGGCAGTAGGATGGCAGTAAGGTGGGGTTGGGATTAGGGTGGGGCCGAGGTAGGGGCATGTGGTAGGGGTTGGGCTAGGGTCGTTGTAGGGAAAAGGGGTACGTGGGGGGGTGGGGTAATGGTCGGGGGTAGGGGTAGGGGTAGGGTAGGGGTAAGGTAGTGGGGTGGGTAGAGGTCGGGGTGGGGTCGGGGTAGTAGGGTAGGCGGGTATAGCGGTAACAATAGGGTAAGAGCAAGGGGTGAGGGTAAATTCGGAAACTAAAAAAGTTTAAAGTGCCGCTTAATTAATACATGGGGGTGGTATGCTTAGTAAGCGGCCCTTTAAGCACCTCTTTCGGTTATTAAACAACTTTTTAAACTAAATATTCTGTGTTTAAACTAAAGAAAATATTTGAAGTACTTTTTCAACATCCTAAATTTTGGCCTACCCTCGAAACCCAAAATAATTTCTGTAAGATTAACAAACACTTCTTGGTTTCTATCTTTCTTCTAAAAATGATTGGAAATTCATTTCTACCTCCAATGTTAAAAATGATTGGAGTAGAACTTATTTCATTTAAAAGGCTCTTGCAGCCTAATCACCACCGGAATCACTGATTACATGGTTTCACAGATGCTGAGTTCAATTCATAGAAAGCGATATGTAACATACTAAGATTAGCGTAAAATATATTTTTGTGAATTATTTCTCATTATTCATTAAATTGATATTCTATGTTCTTCGTAGCCTGTAGGGAGTAGCGACCCCAGAAAAGGTTCAAAGTTATAATAGAGGAACAGAGAGTTACCTGAAATTCTCTTTCACGTGAACAGCTTTTCTGGATAATAACATAGACAAGAAGTTAAAAGATACAAAGCAAGAAACAAGCTGATATAGTGACAGTTTGGTAACTACTTTTTGCTGATCTTCCTTAGTTTTACCAAACCTTATGTTAGATGATTTACTGCGAGCACTACATTGATTAATAGTAATAACGACAATAAAACGAAAGGTGTGATCTACTCTTTCAGATGAATAAAGATGCACATCTCAGCCTCTTTTTTCACACAAAAATTTCATAGTATGATAAAAATATATTATTATACTAAGTCAGCAGTTTCATCAATATTATCAACCACAACTTCGGTCATTTCAGCAATTTGAAACAAAACTGTTACCAAACGGGCACTAAACTATTTGAACACGGTGTAAAACCTAATACGAGAAGGAACCCATCAGCCCATGAAGGTGCATTCTACCTGAGGTCTGCAGAACCAAATTGCGCGGCTGATCCTATCCCGAATTCCCCACGTTGTGCAGCTTCAAACTTGTTGAGATCAGCCATGGCAGACATCTCATTGGGGCCCAATGTGATCACTGCAGCTGCCAATGCAGTTGAGACAATTGCTCTCCAAATCTTTGGCTCTGCACAAGTAATAATGTCATATTGGTTTTCTATCAAGAGACTGAGGGTGCCTTTTCAGCTCATGTTACCAAATTGTCTTCTTAATAGGGCTGAGTTATAAAATACACAGAGACCAGACCAGATCAGACCAAACCAGTTAAGAAAATTCCAGTCTAAGTAAAAACCTCTTTAATCATTTCATGACTTTAATGGAGTTCAAGATTTAGTTGGGGTAACTCAAGTGGGGCTATATACTATATCTCGACCATACTAGATTAGAAGATTGAATACAGTCAAAGAATTAGTTACCAATTACTATCGTATGTTGAAATATGAATTTTAGCCCCCTTGGTGTAAATTTTGCAAGCTTTGATCCTTCAATGCTGTGTTTCTGCCTTCGCACTACTTATGATCATTCCCCTTGCTTGATACAGTAAATGTGAAGGAGGTGATTCCCAATACTGAGAGCCTAAATGATTCTTAGTAGTTATGGGAGTATTTTCATGGAATAAGCCTTTGTTATATATATTCATAGAGCATTCATCATCATCATCATTATCATTACCCCAGTGCCGTAAAGGCTCCAACCTACGGTGGGGTAAGGGGGGTCGGATGTAGGCACTCTTACCTCCGTACTAAAGCATAGAGGGACTGTTTCTGGATGACCCATAGTGAAAATTGCGTCAAAAATTGCATGAACTGACTATTGCTTCACAACAAAGAAGCGCAAACAGTTTAGTGAGCCAATTTGCTTTATTCCATCATATTATCACGCCAAAAAAATGAGTCTTTGGCTCCATTGCAAATGATGGAAAAATATATAAAGTAATTGTCCTATATAGGACTAAAATAGGGGTGAAATGCAAAAATAGGACCCATCATGTTTTTTTCCTCTATTAGGACCAATTTACTCCTATTCTTAAACCTACGAAAATTGGCATCCCAAATTTGCCCCTGCATCCATTTAATTATCTTTCTCTCCTTTTCTATTCATAACCGATCAATACCTTCTCCATGCCAAGAACAGATGTGCCGATACCACCGCATCTCATCATCTCCGTTCAGATCTGTCGATTCCATCACCCGACATCAACGACTCCTCCACACGGTGCCTACACCGCACAGCCTGCGTTGCCCCTGCTTCGCTGCCTTCGCCTTCACTTCGCTGCCTTCACTCTTCACCATCGCTGTGTTTATTTTTCTCCGGATTTTCAGGTTTTTTCACTTTCTTCGTCGTCTTCTTCTTCTTCTTTCTCTTCCTCTTCTCCTTCTCCTTCTCCTTATTCTTCATATTTCAATTTTTCTATTTTGACATGGATTTTGTCAATTTTCTGGATTCACTTTTCGTATATTTTACTTCTGTTTTCTTAGTATTCAAAAAATTGTGATTTTCGGATCATGGCATACGATTTTGCCAAGTTTATGGCAGAAGTATACATCGATAATCGTATTATGGCAAAAAGTTTCATATAAACTGCCTTTTTCATAAACTCTGTATTTGTAATTTCCAATTGTGTTAGTGTTTATCCCATTAAAATTTGGAATTTTTGGTTATTAATTTTACATTTTTGCCAAATATATGGCAGTTTGTGTTGTCATTCCAAGATAAATCTTCCAAATCTCTGACAGATTTGAAATCATGGTTCATGCCATGTTTCAAATGAATCTCCAACTGTGTTAGTGTTTATTCCATTGAAATTTGGAATTTTTGGTTATTAATTTCACGTTTTTGCCAAATATATGGCAGTTTGTGTTTTCATTCCAACATAAAACTGCCAAATCTCTAGCAGATTTGAAATCCTGGTTCATGGCAGATTTGAGCCGGAGTAGTGACGGCGGCGGTGGTGGCGGCTCTGAAGTTGACACCTGTAGCGGTCAGAGGATGGTGGTGACGACGGCGGCGGATGACGATACTGGTGTGGGAGGCATCGACAGGCGGTGGCAAGGGCTGTGGCAAGCGGCCGCGGGTGGGAACATTGTCGAGGGTGGCTGAACTGCTCGTATGAAATTCAGGGTTTTGTTAAATTGTAATTGTACATTTTTAATTTTTAATTAAAAAAAAACTGAATGAGGGGCATTTTTGTACAAACAAGTGGATTTTAAGTCCTACATAACATACATTTCTTTCTTGGTCCTATTTGTGCACTCTAAACTTCTTTTAGTCCTAAACGGGTCATTAACTCAAATATATATTCATAGAGCATAGTAATATACTCCCTCCGTCCCGCTATGATTGTCCCATTTTACTATTTTGGTCCGTCCCACAAAGATTGTCTCATACCTTATTTGGTAAAGTTTGTGTGGTTCTAAATCATTCCTACTTTATTCTTACTTTATCAATTCAATATCAACCACATAAACCCACTTTTATTAATAATTGTGTCACCTTCTCTTGTCCCAAACTTAGGGGGACGGAGGTAGTAATAAAATTGCACATTAACTAGGATGGCTTATAGTAAAAAAAGCTAGGATGGCGTGACATAATGTAATATATATGAGCCATGCCTTTCAATTTTAAACACCATTAAAATCACAGTCGGCTTCCATAAATACTCTGTATTGCGCAATACTTCTGTCCCAATTTGAATATCTTATTCACTATTCCGCGATCACTCCAACCCTATTCTAACCTCTAGATTGATGTATCAAATATTTATCATATTCAAATTTGGTTTATGCAATCTAATAGAACATTCGGTGTAGTTTCGAAATATGTAAATATTTTTTTTGTCACGGGAGGTACACCTAAGTCGGTAGTCGGTGGGGCAAACGCCGGGAACATTTGCCAGCTTTATAAGAAACATATGTAAACAATATTAAGTATTAGTATTTGAATAATATTTGAAGATTTTAAATTTTAACTTCTACTCCCTCCGTATTTAAAAGTTCCATACACTTTCCTTTTTAGGATGCATTTAAAAGCTCTCTACACTTTCCCTTTTTGATAAGTTTTTCCTTTAAAAATACTCAATTACCCTTACTTTTTCTACTTTTTATCCTCTTTTTCCTACTTTTTCACCTCCTCTCCTACTTTTTCTATGCTATTCATTACCCCCACTATTCTACCTTAAATCATGTGTCATAACCAAACGTAGCGATCTTTTAAATACAGAGGGAGTATTTAAAATAGGACATTTTAGTAAATTTATATATGACCCATCCCCTTCCCTCACCTACAAATTTATTTTATTATAAGTAAAATTATTTTATTACTTTTATGTTTAATTATTAAAGGTGAAGTTTTTTATTTTTAAGCTTTCATCTTCTGATATAGTGCTACGTAATTCAAATATGAGTGTGTTTGGTTGGATGTAAAAAGTGATTACTTGTATGTGAAGTGGAGGGACGTAAAAGAATTAAAGATTTAAATGAAATCATTTCACGCATAAAGATTTAATGTGAAAACTATCAAACGAGCCCTATGACAGCAATCTGGCCAGGTTCTGAAATACTAAAACTACCTCACAAAAAAAGAAATTGACATTAGGAGCCCGTTTGGAGAACTCTGTTTTCGGCTTATCAGGCTTATCAGCCAGTTTTTTCACCAAACACGTAACTTTTACTTTCGCGCGCTGAATTGTGTAATAAGCCGAAAAAGTAAGGTTGGAGTTACTTTTCTGGCTGTATTGGCTGAAGTTACTGTAGAAGACCATTTTAGCTATTTTTACATATAATTTTTTCTTTAATTTATTAATAAAATATATTTTTAAAATATTTTTTTCTTAAATCAGCAGAATCAGCCAAAACAGCCACTCCAGCCAGAATATCATAAATTTCAGCAGAATCAGCCAAAACAGCCGATTTTGGTGCTACCAAACGGGCTCTAGATCATATCTACAGGGGCAAAATTTTACAAAAAAGAATGTCTACTGTGGCCGTGCAATGGGGGTAGCTAGAGGTGCCAACTCTGACCTCTGGGTCCACTCCAAAAAATATAGCGTAAAAATTTTCATATATTTTTTGTCAAAAAAATTCCTGAGCCCAATGCTCTGCTCCGGCCTAGTGCATGCTTTATTTGGATTGGAATTTTCTGTTAGTCTGGTAAATGTGTAGTTTCTGTGTATTTATTACGTATAACTATTCAAGTCTGACCTGTTTTGATTTGGCGTTAGTTTTTGCGTTATTTAATTCGGACAACTAAATAACAGACGTTCTAGATAAAGAAAAGAGAAGATGAAGAAATATTGACCACAGAAAAAAGATAAGCCAAACCAAACTGAACTTACCTTTCCCCACAGCCAAACCAAGCGGAGAAATGCTCGAAGGAGATTGAAAGGCAACGACAGGAGGCTTAAGTAGAGAAGAAGACGAAGAAGAGATATCCTTGGATTTTATAGGTATCATTAAAGAGACTGAATTCAGTGCCATTTCTGTGGGGCTTATTCTTGAAATAGGAGTATCTTCTGTGAACGGAAGTGCAGGTTATCAGAGAAGAACCAGTTTTTTTAAATCCCAAGAGTGGATATAGCAAAAATTTAAAGAACCATATGACTCCATGTGACCCCACTATAAAAAATAAAGGAAAAAAAGGTCAAATACACTCTCCTACTATATCAAATAGATCACTTCAACCCTTCTATTAAAAAAACATCATATTAATACACTTACCATTAAAAAAGCATCAATTGGGTCATCTTACCTGATTACGGGAGTGTTTGTCGATTGCTTGAGCTTTTTAAAAGTGATTTTATAAGAGATTATTGCAAAAGCGATTTGTAGTAAAAGTATGTAGTGTTTGGGAATAGAAGTGGTTTTAATTAAAATGTAAAAGTTGGAGTGTTGTGATGTACTACGTAATATTTTTGTGAAAAGTACAAAAATAACCTTGGAATACATACGGACATAACTTCCCCGGCTACTCAAGGGATTTCCAGTCCGCCGCATTTTGTTGCTCTTATCTCTGCTTAACTCCCTTTTCTTGTCTAATATATCGAGTATGTCATTTGTATATGGTTATTGGAGCTTCCGTTTGTATCTCTGTTTGCTCTTATCTTTGCTACTCGGGTTTCAGTTTGTATATTTGGTCTTAGGGAAGGAACATATATGGTTATTGAAGCTTCCGTTTATTACCTTAAGAATTTTCACTACCTACTCTTTGAGAATGGAACGAGTTATTAGAGCGACGACACATGAAGATGACGATGGAGAGAACGGATGTCGAGGGGCGACGAGGGCTGGCAGATGAGTGATAATTACTTCAGGGTATTTTGTGGGGTTTGAGAATTTGTTGTCATTACTATTACTCATAAAGTTGGAGTTAATTACAAGTATACCAAGAAGCTATTAGAAAAAAAAAATTAGGATTACCAAGAAGCTATTAGAAGCTTGTATATATGCTCTAGCTTTTAGATTTTGACTTTAAAGCACTTTATTTTAAGCAAAAATTAGGATTATCAAACACTTTTTTTTTATTTGTTTTTAATCTAAAAGCTCAAAAGCACTTTTTTTAAGCAAAGGAAAACACTCCTTACAACTCTCTAGACTATAGCATGTTATCGGTTGATTTGATATATGTTTTCCAATTTTTATTTACTTTTTTCATTTTCTTTGGCATCTTATGTAGTACACAGTTCGTACTTTACACTCCCCTATATACGAATTCCCAACTTTATGGCTGTTTTACTCTTGCTTCGTTTGTGTTTTCTTCGTTTCATTTTCTTTCATTTTAGTTTTTACTCGGTATTTGTTTGTCTTCAACTATAAGGGCAGTTTTGTAATATAAAAATTTGTCTCCCTTGTTTTACATTACTTATCTTATTTAAATAAAATAAAATCGTAAAAGTAGAATCAAAAATTCTTTTTTTTTATTTTTATGACATTTCCTTAATATATACTCCCGTTATATTATTTTCTTTTTTATATTTTTCCACTTTCTCTTTTAATATATCTACATTAATCATTAATCTTCCTACTTTTCTGTAAATATTGTGTGTACCCTAACTTTATACATAAAAAATGTTGGTTGGGAAGATTATGATAAATGTGTCCAAAAATAGAACTTTAAATCTCGTCTGAAACATTTTTTGTCCATACCAGACATTTATTGTTTATAAAAGTGATTTTTTTGCTAATATTTTTTATGTGACATAACTTTCACTCAAAAACTTATTTGTGCAAAAAACTTTCAAAATGTTTAAAATTAAAAAATACTGAGTATACATTTTTGTCTTTGTCAGGCATTAATGTCCGTAAAATTAGATTTGTCAAAAATTCTGATAGAATTTTTAGTCTATAAAATGGATGTAAAAGTGAATTTTTTTTATCTATACTTTTTTTTCTATATCCTAACTTTACGAAAAATGTCAGTGAGAAAGATTTTGACAAATGTGTACAAAAAAATATAACTTAAAATCCAGTTAGAAACATATTTTGTCTGTACCAGATGTGTTTACATATGCAAGTTAGTGGTGTTTACCTCACACCACTTCAAAGTTTTGGGTATTTTTATTATTTTTCCCTATTTTTAAAATTGAATGTATCTGATTGACATTTTTGTGTTTATAGACTAACTTATAGACAAAATTTATTTGTGAAAATGATTTTTAAAATGTGAATAAAAATTATACAATATTTTTGCCTTGTTTGACGCCCAGGTGCAAGAATTGCAACAGGAGCCACGCCGGGAAGTGTCGTGATCCACCACGGTGCTACCAATGCGGGAGTACAGGGCATATTAAACCAAATTGCCCTCAACTTGGTGGGAACCGAGTGGCGGGATCGAGTGGCGCTACTACGGCGAGTAGGAACCGAACTGGGGCACCTCATGCTAGTACGCGGCAAGGGGGGGCGAGCACGAGCAACGCGCCATCTGTGAATCAGGGGAGGTCTTAAGCACGGGTCTATGCGATGACCGAGACTGACGCTCAGGCTAATCCCGACTCCGTTGCAGGTAATCCTTTGTAATGATTGATAAATTACATGTTTTCGAGTGCTACGAATGATAGCGGGTTTGTACGGGCTCGCCGGGGCCAATACCGGCCGGTTTCGTAGCAATAAGTTGCAAAAAATAAGCTGCCCAGGGGTAAACCGGCGCCGGTCAAGGCTTAAACCGGCGCCGGTTCTAATTAAAAACCCTCGTTTTGAGGTTGCCGTAGGTAAACCGGCGCCGGTTTTGGCCCATAACCGGCGCCGGCCATGGATCGGGGAGGCTTAGCTAATTAAAAAATTGATTTCCGGGGGACGCCGTAGCAAAACCGGCGCCGGTTTTGCCCATAACCGGCGCTGGTCTAGGAGAAAAGGGGGTCAGGAAAATCACCGTGCTTGTAACCGGGGCCGGTTTTGAAGAAAAACATTTTTTCGAAGTTGCTGAAGGTAAACCGGCGCCGGTTTTGGCCATAACCGGCGCCGGTCCAGTTCAAATTGCGTGTATCCGGTCATCCCGAAGGCAAACCGGTGCCGGTCTTGCCTAGAACCGGCGCCGGTTCAGTGTATTGTTACCCGAAAAATTTTCGTTAAGCCCCGTTTCGATCCGGTACGTTGGCTAGTGTGTCTTACATGACTTATATATGTAGGAACATTAAAGATCAACGGTAGAAATGCAAGAATTCTCATTGATACCAGGGCACAACGTTCATTCGTGAGTGAAGCGTTTGCCGAAAGTTTAGATGTGCCGTTGATAGTAATGACACAACCCTTGTTGGTCTCTACACCGTTGGGAGACGATGTGGAGAGGAAACACTACTATCCTTCGTGTGAGGTAGAAGTGACGGGTCAACCTTTGACTTGTGACTTCGTACCTCTAAGTATGTTAGAATTCGATGCAATTCTAGGGATGGATTGGCTCGAGAAACATCATGCTCGAGTGGATTGTTATGCCAAGGTTTTAGAACTCGAGGATGCTGAGGGAAACACTCTACGTTTCGAGGGAGATCGGGGAGGATCTCATAGTTGTATAATATCCATGATGAGGGCACGGAAGATGATGAGGAAGGGATGCCATGCATACCTTGCTTATGTGGTGGATGAAGCAAGGAAGGAGGTTGACATCAACGATGTACGTGTCGTGTGCAAATATCCGGATGTCTTTCCCAAAGACTTGCTGGGGCTTCCACCCGACAGGGAGATCGAATTCGTGATTGAAGTGGAGCCGTGAACCAAACCCATATCGATTCCTCCTTATCGAATGGCACCGGTCAAGCTTCAAGAGTTGAAGGTTCAACTTCAAGAGCTATTGGACAACGGGTTCATTAGACCCAGTCATTCACCGTGGGGAGCAGCCGTACTCTTCGTAAAGAAGAAAGATGGTACACTAAGAATGTGTATAGACTACCGACAGTTGAACAAGGTCACGATCAAGAATAGGTATCCTTTACCGAGGATTGATGACTTGTTTGATCAACTTCG